GGCTTTTAGGAAGAACAAATGTAAATATGTCATATCTACAATCTATCTATCTATCTATCTATCTATCTATCTATCTATCTATCTATCTATCTATCTATCTATCTATCTATCTATCTATCTATCTATCTATCTATCTACGTACCTACCTATCTTATGAGCCGGTTCCAAATATTGCAAATACTCCAGTTGTTCCAGATGTTCCATTCCATATTTTAGACGTTGCCGGGGAAAACACATGCACACAGGGAGCAAGCTAGCCTGCGTCACAGACTTCAAAACACATGTTTTTTCATAAGCAAGCCAGTTGCGTCACAATGCACGCGCATAAATTATAATTATTACTATAATTATGTCTATATTAACTATAAAGACCTTTTGAAATATCAAGATGATAGACGCAGTTAAGGACTACTTAACGCCAAAGACATTCAGTATTTTGGCATACGTATGTTTGATCATTCACTGTCTTTGTGGCGTGGTATTTACAGGTATTGTTATTGTTTTGAAAGAGGGAGAAGTTGGGAAATTTACTTGTAATGTCGCGCCTCAGAGTACGACGACATACAAGACGCAAGTCGACAAGGCATGTTATTCAAGATACCAACAGAATTATAATTCCCCACTACCATTTTATGGCTTCGTCATTCTGAGTATTTGGTTCCCGATTGTTGTCGCTGTTATCTATTCACTCTGCGTCCGACGTCGTGTTGAGGAAATCGACTCGAATACAAATGAACCTCAAACTCAGGGGGAAGCAGACAACGAGGTACAGAACAAGGGGACTTTGTATGTTTCGTATTTCTATTTTTTCCACGTTGCTATTTGTGTCCTATCTGGGATACTGTTTACTATCCTACAGTATACAGTGTTTTTTCCAAGTGGTTTTGATTTCGAGTTTAGCTGTAGTCTACCACCAACAGGGTTTACGACCAAATTAGCACATATATTAAATGCGAGTGACGGTCTGTTGAATATGATATCTATTACATGTGAAAATTCGAGTGCATTTGAGAAACAGTTATGGTGGGTCATCGTATCTGTATTAAACACGGGTTTTGCTTCGATAATGTTTGGGGAATTGATTCGTCTTTGCCGACGATCACGAAACCGTTGTTGGAGTTCTGATGCCGAGTTTATTATGGTTTATTTGTTAGGAAAGCAATATTTGCATATTCAACTGAAACGAACAAACCTTCAGGAATGTATAGACTTTTACAAAAGACAAGTTTTGGAACCGTCTCGTACATCCAACGTGATTTATGGGCCGAAAACCTCTTTAGAACAGTTGTATATTAATCTTGTAATACATACTGAACGAGCTAAGCACAAATTTTCAAAAAGCATGAGACGGCATGAAATATTCAATGTTTATATGGAAGTTCCTCAACACTCCATATGTCTAGGAGAGGTAAAAGATTTATTTTATCCCAACAAAGATACAGATGGTAACTACCCACGCAAGATTGTAGTAGTCGGTCGCCCTGGTATAGGAAAAACTGTCTTGACTGAAAAAATCATGCGTGATTGGGCTAGTGGAATTGACGAATGTTATTGTGGCAAGATTGCCTTGTATTTTAAATTTAGATGGTTCAATCTTACCGAATTCAAAGACATATCTCTTAAGACGTTTCTTCGTTATGGAACAGGACTGAGTGATGAGAAATTTGAAACTATTTATGAACATATAACAAAATGGCCAGAAAGAGCCATTGTTATATTTGATGGTTTAGATGAATTTAATGGCAACATGGAGTGCTTTGACAATTTACCCCCTCCAAACGATCCTAATGTTTCAATGTCTGGAATTTCTTTGTTTATTAAACTGATTTCCGGCCACTTATTGCAAGGGGCAACAGTTTTGGTAACGAGCAGGCCAACAGCAAACGAGTTTTACTCCAGGGTTAATTTTGATAGAACTGTTGAGATTATTGGTTTCACCTCAGATAAAATTGAGGAATATGTCAGCAGATTTTGTGACAATAATAACAGAAACGATCTAAAGGCGAACGTGTGGAACCACATAAAATCCTCGTCGGACTTGTTAAATTTATGTTACATTCCTGTCAATTGCTTCATTGTCTCTGCAGTCCTCTTTGAATGTCTTAGTGATTGCAGAAATGAAACCAGTGCTCTTCCAACAACACTGACTGAACTTTATGATGCAGCCATCGCCCATTTTGATAAGCACCACTATAGCCAGTTAGATGGACAATCCTCCGAAGATGCAATCAAGAAACTTGAATTATTAGCTTTCAATGGAATTGTACATGGCCAACTTGTTTTCAACAATGACCTATTCGATGAACAAATGAAAAAGTCTGGTTTATTGAACAGTTTATCCAACCCCATTTTTCCAGTGAACACACAGTTTTGTTTTATTCATCTAACTATACAGGAATTTCTCGCTGCAAGACATGTGGTTGAAACTTTCTCTCCGGAAAAAATCAAGCAGTTTATTTTCTCACATATTGAAAGTGGCCAATGGCATTTAGTGCTTCAGTTTATTGCTGGTCTGTTGGGCAAGAAAATAAAGATGTTTAAGAAAAACGACTACAATGATTGTGTGTTGGCGTTTACACACAGGGTAATTGTTAAGAACGGTAAAATTGATTTTAATAAAGATTATAGTTTATTGTTTGTCATGAAATGTATACGGGAAGTGGATGATGAAGACGTTGTTCAAGAAGCTTGTGAAACAACTGTTATGAATGATGTTGTCAGCCTAAGTAACTGTCGGACGATTACGGCAGTAACAGCCCTCACCTCAACCGACTGGGCGGCAGTGACTTTTGTTTGCAAACACATGAAGAAATTAACGGAATTAAGTTTGTACTTATCATCGCATTTGAGTGAAGAAGGTTATCTTCAAGTTAGTAATCTTCTACAACAAAGATGTGTAAAACAACTGAGGTTGATGGGTAGAGGATTTCACACGAGTGAGTACTTGGAAGGAGAATGTCTATTTAAAGCATTAATGAAATCGCAGTGTACTTTAAACCACGAACACAGTATGATTACAGAATTGGACCTTCGACATTTTCACATAACCAATGAATGTTTATCGATTATGTGTGAATTTTTTAAAAACAGGCATGCAAGTTGTCTTGAGCGATTAACCTTGCATAGTTGTGGTATAACTTCTCGTGAAATATCCAAACTTTGTGAACTCCTCGATATTATGCCTTATCCGGAGTTTACATATCTGGATCTTAGTGCTAATGAGATTCTTGATGAGAGTGTAAGAGTGTTGTGCAATGCCCTTAAACATAACCATTTAGAGCTTACTCATCTGTATCTTGATAAGTGCTTGGTAAGTGATGATTGTATACCTTCGTTGTGTGTCTTACTTAAGGATGAACGCTGTGAGCTGACTGTTTTGTCAATGGAAGATAACGAGGGTATAAGTGATGAAGGTTTACGTATGTTATGTGAATCTGCTTTAAGAGAAGAGCATTGTAAACTTACAGAGTTACACCTGTTTAAGTGTTCGTTGACAGATGAATGTATACCCGAGCTACTCAAAGCATTGCAAGATGAACATTGTGGACTCAATAAATTGACGCTAACCGGGAATAAGTTTACCGAGAAAGGCAAGAAGACGCTTCGTGACATAGAAAAACATAAACATTGCCAAGCCAGAGGTTTGCAATTTAATTTTGGCATGCTTTAGTAATGGCCAGCTGTACAGGGTGTCTAAAAATAGTGAACCTATAGAAATCACCCTTTTTTGTAAACACCGAAACTTCATTACCTCTGGGAGTTTCGAAGGCATGGTAATCGTACGAGCATATTAAAACTGCATAAATTATACATAAAAAATTTCAATGAAAGTTAAATTGCTCATTAATAATTCATAAACTTTGTGGCAAATCATGTCAGCCATAATATGTCACGTGGAGTGACTTTATATCAGATAACATGTGGCATTATATAATTGTTCATCCTAATTAGGGCCTGTTTATATGGGCAGAAGTTATCCCGGTTAGCCAGAAAACTTTTCGACAAGTTTACGAACGAGATCTCGCCTTGTTACGAAAATAATATGAAAAGTTACATTGCGTTCATATGAGACGAAAAGTTTTCCCGTGTACCGAGATCTCGCTTGTTGACAGGCGAGATCTCGGTGACCGGGATAATGTTTTTCCCATATGAACACAACTTTCCCGCTTAGCGCGGGATAACTTTTTGTCGTGTCAGCAACTTTTCAATTCAATTGATGTTCATTGCTACGTCACAGCCGGAAACTTTTCCCGGTAAGTGGGTTAATATTTCTCCATATGAACAGAACAAAAGTATTTGGCTAGTCGAAAAGTTCTCTCGTTAACCGGGATAACTTTTGCCGATATGAACAGGCCCTTAGTATGATTATATAATGGTTTGTCAAGGCTACAAGCAGTACAGGACTCAGTCATTCAAATTGAAATAAGGTGAATTTCTAAACGTATACTTGAGACATCCTGTACAACAGACCTTTTTCATAATGACGTCAGACGCGAGAAACCCTTAATGCGATGTCCCAAGGGTCAATTTTAAAGCCAATTCGCGATGCAAATCGTTGCCTAGCCATTCCAATTTCATTTAACACATCTGCATTTCGAATTGTCGCTAAAAATTGTGGGACATTAAATGTAATTATCACATTCGACTTGTAAATATACGTATAGACATCCGGTAGAGATTTTACTTGCATATACTCTGCTCATATGTTGTGCTCAACGTGGTGTTTGTTGTTCAGAGATTTTTACTGGCCGCGGATCTACCATGCGGGCCGCGGATCTATACCACGCGGGTGCACATCCCAGCTAGTGGTGTCTTGCATCTCCATAGAGAAGTCCAGCACTACCCTAAAAAGCTTGACCATCTACGTACTGTTAGCGTGTGTCGATTTCGTGAAACGATTTTTAATTGATTTGTGAGCTCACGAGAAAATTGACTTGGAATATCATGGACATGGTTAAATATGTAAATATGCCGATGTTGTTGTTATACAGCCATATTTTCAAATATATTGTACATTATAACAAGCAAATTTACTGTACTGTGCTACAGCAACTGTCCAGTCACGCATATACGTGATAAAAAGACGATATAAACTTTATAAACAAAACTCGAAAAATAATGTAAAACGTAACAGAACGGCAAACATGCAGATTCGGCCATCTCAAATAATGGTAATGTTGCCATAGTAGCGTTGCAGACTGCAGAGGAGACAGAGCAGTAAGGCTCCCTCGTGTACCACCCCATTAAAGGCTCCCTCGTGTACCACCCCATGAAAAACCTGCATCCTCCATGCAGATGAGGCTACAATCTTGGACAAAAACCTTGAGACCGTTCCAGCCAATATTGCAAAGTTAAAGGTGCTCTACAGTCCGATCTGCGCATGTGCACAAAGGAGCCCACTTTTTATGATACAAACAGTTTAACTGTTTTGGGTTCTTGAAGAGCCTGATTGTTGTTTCTTGATCATTTATTATACTCTAGAAGCTTGAAAATATAAACAGTTGTCGAATAAAGCCCAGGTCACACTACACAACGATAACGATACGATAACTTGTATACGCGCGCTGATTGGTCAAAAATTTATCGTTATCGTCCGACTGAAAAAAAAATCGCTCAGATGAGCGATTTTAAAATCGTTATCGTTATCGTTCAACGATAATTTTATCATTTTCGTTGTTGTGTGGACACGGACACCATTTTTTTTGACAATTATCGCGTGTTTACAATTTATCGTATCGTTATCGTTGTGTAGTGTGCATGACCGGGCCTTAAAGCTCAATATTTTGGACACAAAAATGTAAACAAAGGCTTTGTTTACATACGGACTGTAGGGCACCTTTAATGAACATTGACAAATCAAAATTTATCACCCCTTCCCAGTTTATTGTTGTGAGCAACGCTGAGAACACTTTTGGTAATTTACAATCACACAAGCTCAACATTGAGTTGGGGGAGCGGGGGCTTAAGAAACACAACATGATTCAACATGGAATTTATCAAAAGGGGTATGGGAATTTTGTATATTATTATAAAGGGGAAGAATTAAATAGTCTCAATCAATTATGTCCAAGATTCGCCCCTGGATTTTATAACAAGGATTTTAACTGAAGAAGTGGAGGCATTAATTTACTATCCCTTGTACGGAGATCTCCATTGTTCTGTCCGTATGTAGAGGTCCCATCTTAAAATCGTTACATCACAGAGGTCTCACTTCTGCGCGGGAAAATCGTAAGGTAATTTTTAATTTACTGCGCCTATCTGGCGGACACATGCCCTAGAGAGAGGCATATATACACGCCCCTGGAACATTACTTTTCAATATGTTTTCAGGGGATACCAGCCTCTCTTTAGGGCACTTGCTATAAAGAACTGAAAAACTCCTTACGCTAGTTAACCTGAAGTGAAGCCTCTGTGTGTACGTACTCTGTGATTAATACTCACTGAGATATTTAGATCGGAAACAATTGAATCGTAAAACAGCAAATGCGGGTATGTCGAGAGAGTTAGAATTACACATTCTATTTATTACAATATATTTACATATATATTAAATAAATCTTAAAAATGACAAATATATTAAATTCTAAGGTCTATATATCTGAAGCATAGAACTTCAGTCGTACGGCCCATGAGAGAAGCGAAGACTGGATGGCGGAATTGACGTTCAAAACTGTCTATGAAGGTCGTAAACAGTTTTAATACCATTTTCCCCAGCTGACTGATACACACTGTATATGGAGCTCATTGACACAGAGCTTGTTTTATAACATGTATATATGACACTGAAGGCGTTAAAATGTACAAGTCAAAGTGTTCACTTAAAGCCACAATAAAATAATTTGTGTACTATATTGTAGATGGGTTTTATCGTTGCGAAAAACACAACTATAGGCCATAGATATCTTATATAGGCCCTCTGGTAGGAATTGAAGGCGGCCTTGCGATTATGGTGCAGCGCTCCAACCAACTGAGCTACAGAGGCCAGTTATCGATCTCTAACCGCAAGGTGATACCAATTAAGGTGTATGGGTAAATACAAAGGATTTTGGGACATAATTTGTTAGATGACCCAAATCCTAATTTTTGTATTAGGAAACTAATTGTTCTTTGAGCAACGTTTGAATATTCAAATGATGATCGAAGGTTGAATACTTTGATATGAATATTCTGATTACACTTCTAGTCCCAGCTAGTTCAACTGCAATTTATCCCGATGCAAACGCGTCATTTAGTTGCGAAGTGAATGCTCTGGATATACACTAGCTACACACTATCTAGGACGACCCAGTCATGAATCAATGGTATATATCACCGTTACGACATAAGTTTTAATTTTAAGATGTCTGCGTATCTTGCATTTTTGTAATCTTCTTCAGTTACGTTTCTCCAAATACAGTATGGGTTCTTAGATATTCGCCTTGGAAGAACTCTGTTCAGTTTTCATAGGTTATAACAAAGCCATCAGTTCTTGAAGTACCTTGATGAAGAAAAAAGTTACAATGAAAATATTGTGAGTCAAAGTATCGAATATATAGTACAAGGGTTCAGAAGTGAGAATGGACCATTTGCATTATAGACTAAATTTTGATCTAGACAAAAATTTCATCACAGCTTGAAAGAGCATCACAAAATTAGTAATATTCCAAAGTTTCGTTGCGAAATGTTGTAAAATGCGGATAATATAGCCTTGCGAAGTTTGCCGTTTTTCAGTCATGTTGTATTACGCACGGGAAATTGACAGCCCAATCGGGTGTTGGGGCATCAGTTTCCCGTTTGTAATACAAAATGACTGAAAATTGCAAATTTTGCAAGGCTATATTATCCGAATTCTACAACATTTCGCAACGAAACTTTGGAATATTACTAATTTTGTGATGCTCTTTCAAGCTGTGATGAAATTTTTGTCTAGACCAAAATTTAGTCTATAATGCAAATGGTCCATTAACTCACTCGATACAATAATAGTTGAAGGGTGTTGTAAATGGAAATTGTCGAGTGGGAATTTATATACATTTTATTAAATCTAATCAGGAACAGTTACGATAATGCAACTATAGGTCCAGTGGTGTCAAGTAACGAAGTAAATGTACTTCGTTACTGTACTTGAGTACTATTTTTGAGAAGTGAGCATGTAAAAAAGTAAACTTTTTCTGGAGTACTTTTACTTGGAATGAAGTCGTTTTAACAAGTAACGTTTTACTTCGTTATTTTCAATTTGTGGCGAAGCATTTCGTTACTTTCTCACATTTGTTCAATTTTATGTGTTTTATTCCTGATTTATTTTAATTTTGGGATAGGTAATAGGACCTCTACATGCGTCTGGGATCTCTCGTTTGTGGCTTACTTGTAAGCATTATTTATTTAATGGATTTCTTATATCTTCAACGGGGTCTGGAAAGTTGACCATGCCGTGAAATATTGTATATTATGGTGCGCGCATATAATATGCGTGTGCTGTTTTGTGTCTTTTGTATATGTAAATCCATTGGAGAAATCCTCCCCCCCCAAAAAAAAAACAAACAAACAACACGCTATAGACAAAAGTACTTTACTTTTACTGTGTACTTCAAGTATTTTTTAAAGATACTTTGTACTTTTTACTTAAGTACGTTTTGCCTCCAGTACTTTTACTATTACTCAAGTCGTTTTATTGTTAATTACTTCTACTTTTACTCGAGCACAAATTCAAAGTAATTTAGGCACCACTGCTATAGGTCCCTGGAAGGAATTGAATCTGCGGCCTTGCGATTACTAAAATAAGAATATTGATGGCAACCGTTCGCCGACGAGGATTTGTCAATGACGAGGATTTATCAAAATCGCGAGGACTGAACTTGGAGCACGTTGGTACAAGTAATTGGGCCAATCTACCCAGGCTAACCTTTGCTTTTTCGCCAATCTTTCCACTTCGTTTTGCCAACACTCGAAGACGATCCGTCATAGATATAAGAAGCATATATACACCATTCACGCTTCTGTAAGAACAATATAAATACAGAATTAAACCATATCTATGGTCACCATACTAGAGATGTGCCCGTATAAGTACAGAGATGTACGTGTTATAGTTGCGTCCATATTATAGAGGTATTTTAGAGAGGTGTCAGTATTAGAGAGGTGTCCGTGTATTAGACCATACTAGCCAGTGTCCATATTAGATAGATTTCTGTATTACCATGTGTCCGTTCCAGAGGTGTCTGTATTACAGAGATGTCTGCATTAGAGAGGTGACCGTATTAGACAGGTGACTGTATTAGAGAGATTTCTGTATTAGTGAGATTTCTGTATTAGAGAGATGTCTGTATTAGAGAGATGTCTAGGTATTAGAGAGATGTCTGTATTAGTGAGATGTCTGTATTACAGAGGTGTCTGTATCAGAGAGATGTCCGGAATTAAAGAGGTGACCGTATCAAAGAGATGTCTGTATTAGAGAGGTGACCGTATTAGAGAGATGTCTGTATTAGAGAGATGTCTGTATTAGAGAGATGTCTGTAGTAGAGAGATGTCTGTATTAGAGAGATGTCTGTATTAGAGAGATGTCTGTATTAGAGAGATGTCTGTATTAGAGAGGTGTCTGTATTAGAGAGATGTCCGGAATTAAAGAGGTGACCGTATTAGAGAGGTGTCTGTATAAAAGAGGTTGTCCGTACTAGGGAGCCGTTTGTATCTGAGGGATGTCCATATTAGAGAGATGTCCGTATTGGAAAGGTGCCCGTATTAGAGATGTCCATATTAGAGAGATGTCCGTATTGGAAAGGTGTCCGTATTGGGGAGATGTCCATATTAGAGAGGTGTTCGTATTAGAGAGGTGTTCGTATTAGAGAGGTGTTCATGTTAGATACTGTCTGTATTAGAGAGGTGTCTGTATTAGAGAGGTGTCCATATTAGAGAGGTGTCTGTATTAGAGAGATGTCCGTATTAGAGAGGTGTCTGTATTAGAGAGATATCCGTATTAGAGAGGTGTTCATATTAGAGAGATGTCTATATTAGAGAGAAGTCCGTAAAGAGAGGTGTCCATATTAGAAAGGTGTCTGTATTAGAGAGGTGTCCGTGTTAGATAATGTCTGTATCAGAGAGGTGTCATATCAGAGAGGTGTCCATATTAGAGAGGTGTCTATATCAGAGAGGTGTCCATATTAGAGAAGTGTCCGTATCAGAGAGGTGTCCATATTAGAGAAGTGTCCGTATTAGAGAGGTGTCCGTATTAGAGAGGTGTCCATATTAGAGAGGTGTCCGTATTAGAGAGGTGTCCATATTAGAGAGGTGTCCGTATTACAGAGGTGTCTGTATTAGGGAGGTGTCCGTACTAGGGAAGTCTACTTATTGAAGAGGTATGCGTATTCCATCCATATTAAGAGAATCGACTGCATATACTGTTCCGTACCTGCTACACCTAAAATCTTTTCCAATATCTTTCTTTTCGTTCTTTCCTATAGTCTGTAGTTCTTTCCACCATCGTTTCATTACCTCGCGTACCATGTCTATGGCCGCGATAATGTAACTAAACAAAATAAACATATGTTGTTGTGTTAGCTTGTTAGTAATACAGTTACTCAAAGCTAATCCAGTTACTCAAAGACCAGAAAATTTTGAACTTTTCCATGAAACTAAAGACAGGTTAGTTCATACTCTTCATATTTGGAATCCAGCAACTTTCCAAGAACAGGCAGCAAGTCGAGACATGCACCCATTGATAGCGTGGATAATTCAGGACCATCATCCTTCACTCTAAAATAATCATTGAACATCTGTCATGCTTAAGGAAAACGTGTCATGTTTTTTTTTGTGTGTGTTTCGTGTCAAAACATTGATCTCATGAATGCAACTACATTCATTCGCCTATTGCTGTTAGAATGTGAAACTAGTTTTAGCTATGTCAATATAATTTGTATGCACGGTGTATTGACGGTGTATGCATTTTCACGCCGTTAGGAATGTATTTACATTCCTGAATGTTTTAACATCGCACGTTTTTTCGAACAACAGGAAAGATCCGCGGTTTCTACTGTAAAGCCGTTTGCTTTCTGTGAATCCAAATTAGCAAAGGTGGGACCGCTAACGGATATCTTATTGTAATGAGGGCAAATAAAATTAAGTTTAGAATATCTAGTAACTAGAGTTTGTCTTCAGTGTTACGTTTAAATAATCGGGAATGTTACCATCTAATATCTTTTATACGCGATTCCACAGTGATTTACATAAGCTTCATTGTAGTAGGGAATCCATTGTAACTCATTGAATGTTCATTGTTATTGTTCTAGTCATTATTCTTAAAATTCTTCCTATAATTCCCAAAATTAAGCTACATATTTTATCTCTACGACCTAATTAGACACCTTATATATTATATACCCAACACCACGCAGTGGTTATTCGTCTGAAACCGAATCCCAATATTTAGATACCTGTAGCTTGTTAGGGCAAAATGTGCCCAAATATGTGCCCGAAACAAATAAGGGAATGCGATTGTATGTTATTCTAATACGTGCAATCCATATATCAGCATGGCAAAAAACGTTATATTAGGTGTCCATTAAAGCTGTATACCCTATATTTTACCCCAAGGGGGAGAACATTTGTTCGAGTTAGCGGGGCTCTACGGTAATAATATAGCATTCTGCGTGATTTTCAAGCACTTTTTACATTTTTCAAGGGGTTTTCAAGTGCCCTTGAAATAGGCACGGGTTTTTCAAGTGTCCTTTTTTCAAGTGCCTTGATTATTCAACACTTTTCAAGAGCTCAAGGACCTGCACGATCTCTGAATACTGTGTCGGATTAATAGCTGCTGTAACATGTTGGGATCGGTTGTCGGATGAATACCCATGGCCCGGATGTTGAAGGATATTTGTTATAATTTTCTTGTACTATAAGTGACGAATGTGCAGTAGATCCGCAGAAATATTAGACCAGCCTTTCAAAAATTGTTCTTGTACGATCCAATGGTTCAAGTTTATTGCTATTACAGTACATTCTTGTTCTGTACGTTGTGAACTTGTATCGGAGTCGTTCACATGAATGAAATAATAAGCCGAAAATCACATGCACAAAGTAATTACAAAGATAGAGATATGAGATATTAAGCATCACGCCGTAAGAACAAAGAAAATTGATACATTTCCTTGTGTGTTTGCTGTATTAGAAGAAGTTTGGAAGTGTATACATGTACTAGGTACAGTGATGATATAGGTCAACATGATGTACATTCTACACTTTCCTGATATTATATTCACTTTTAGCGCCGTAAGAGAAACGAAAGAACAAAAACACAGACATGTTTTGTGATTATGACTAACTTCTACTAGCTGGCACTGAATTGCTTTACATTGGTCTAAGATTTCTATGAGTAGATCCCGTTTACACTGTCACTGGAGCGAACGACTCCAGATTCCTCACGAACTTTCCATCACATGTAGGTTCGGAGATGATTCTTACATGGACGGATTTACTGGGTTAGAAGGGTTAAACCCTACTAGAATCTCTCTAACCCCTCTTATAAAGCGTTCAACTCCACCAAAATTTCGCTTCACCCCTCCTTTAAAAAAATGAAAATCCGCCCTTGGATTCTTATCCTCGCCATTCTAGCTGGTTGTTTGATGGAAGAAGTCTTGCATACTGTACATACATTCACACTTGAAACTCCACTCCCGGATTAGAACGCGGCGACACCTGTATATAGGGGTTAGACATTAAACCCTCCTCCTCACATCAGTCAGTTCCTCCCGATTCATTCAAACCTTTGAGCAGCAATTTGTGACTCAAATCCGTCATCTTGAATTTTGAGTGAAAACTCTCTAAACGTATCTATTTTCAAATACACACTAGTCTGACAGTACCTTTTTGTTAAGATTGGAAGTATGTCCACAATTACAGCATCATCATCAAGCCTATATAATTTTAATAATCTTTTGTACTAATTAATATAAATTATTGCAATTTACACAGTTTTATATCTTTTGATTAACCATTAACCCATTGAGCACCAGAGCATAGTCAATAGAATAAAAAGGTTAGGAAACTCAATGCAGACATACTGTAATAAACCTCATTATCTACGTTTTTGTCTTGGTTTATGCAAGAAATGGTCGGTTCATCGTCACGTGTGTATTGTATTTTCGCTAAAGCAACCATGAAATAGCTATGTTTTCATTTAAACATTGTGTAATATCACGACTGCGCAAATAACCAACACACTACTATAGGTTGGGCGAAAAACAATACACATGACGATAAACCGACCATTTGTGCATAAACCAAGACAATCATGTCTATTATGCCTGCATCGAGTTCCCTATAACCTTCTTATTCTATTGACTACAGTATATCCATGGCGAGAGGTAGCTTCCCCTTGATATAAGTAAAATCTTCTGGGAGTTCTGCCGTCAGACTGAGTAAACTAATCTGGTGTTAGACAAAGTAAAATAATAAATTAGCCTAAGGGTACAATGGGGTACATGCAACTTAATGGTTAACTAGAAACATGCATGGGCAGACAGTCCGATTAACGCATTGAGCTGCAGCGCTTTACCCTTGACGAGTGAAATCTTCTGGTATTAGAAAAAGTAAAATAATAATTAATAGCCAATAGGTTGCAATGCACCTAAATGGGTTAACGAACTCAGTTACAATAAACATAATGTGTCAGTAAGTCCACTTCTTTTGTACCAGACCTAATTTTGGAAATCTGGGGGTGCACTCCATTTATGGTCAAGGGGCAAAGGGGGTCACATATTCTTAACACATGCACACTCCAAGGTAGCGAGCTCAATATATAATAATTAAGTTAAACAGTCATACAATCAATCAGTATGGATCAACTATATGCTAGTCACTCTCAAACACTTACCTTAAAATATATTCAATAAAACTATTCATATCCTAAAACATAAACATTATATTTTACTAATATCGTTTCAATGACAAGATTGAAGGCTGCTTTAAATTAAAAATAATGAAACATTTTTGCATATAAATTACAAATTCTGCAAACCTTGTGCCATAGTGTTTGGGCAGCATTCAGCCTCAGTAATCTTGTACTCAATACGGATGTCATAACTTTGTGTCCTTTAGAAATCTAAATTCATTTGGTGAAATATGTTGATTTTAATGATCATGCAATGGTATTTACAGTTTCTGTCTAATTACTGAAGGAAGTTGTAGCTGGGTATTTCGCGTTGAATTTTTGGATTTGTGGTCTAGCTAGTCACGACCCCCGTGAAAAGTTAGGGCTTATATAGAACGGAGCAAAGTCAACGATGTGACGTATGCATGTAGTTATTGTAGTATACATATACATATAGAGTACTGTATGTATCAGTATGACAGTACAACTCATCCAATTTTGTCTTTCGTTACAATTACAACAGTATAGAAAGTTTCTTTCAAAACATTGCATTAAAAGGGTACTACTTGACACACAGACGAATGGCTACCACCGTTTGAATTTTACAGAAAAACTTTCTTACGAAGTGCAGACTCTAAGCAACCAAAAAATGTCAAATTTTCAAGTTGATCTGTCATTAAAACTTTCCCAAGGGGAGGTGCATGACTTTTCAGGAGAGGTGCAAAAATTCCCAGGGGAGGTGCAAAACGATCGCAGGGGAGGTGCGCACCTCGCCACACCACACCTTCCCTCAAAATACATTGGAACAGTTATGAAAAATGCAACTACAGTATCGGCCCTCTGGCAGAAATCGAACCTGCTGCCCTGCTATTCCGGTGCAGAGCTCTATAACCAACTGAGCTGCAGAGAGACAGTTGTCGAGCTCTAACCACAACTTCATGTTGTATGTAAACAACGAGTTTGAGTGTTTCATCAGGGGATCCAAACACGAGAAAACTGTATGAAACACGAGCGCGAGTGTTTTATTGTTTTCGAGTGTTTGGTCCCCTGATGAAACACGAGAAACGAGTTGTTTACACAACATCTCAAACGAAAATATTTCATTGGCTTATATATATATTATTATAGTATATTGTTGTGTTTTGACTTGAATTTGTAATTAGGATCTCAGTTATTAGATGAAAACCGTTTTTCATCTAACAACAGTGATGGTATATGATTTTTAGCGTGTTTCCTTGCGGTATCCAACCTCAATCATGTGACGAATTAGGGTGAGTTCATTCGCTAATTTGCTCATGAATTATTAATGAGTTTGAGATGTATGGATACTAAGGTGATGGCAATGTAAGCTGTATGGGTAAATATTAGGATTTTGGGCATCTCACTTGATATTAACTAATTGTTGAAGGAATTTGTATTGATGGAACTTTCGAGTGCAATTTTAAACCTAACTATAGGAGCAGTTTCAAAAAATGCAACTAACTGCCCTCTGTCTAATTATTGTTTACGACTGTTAGGCCCAGGATTGGTCTTACCCATAGATATCTTATATACACTAGATAGCGCATCTCTTTTAGTAAAATTGAAGCCAAGAATATTCCAGCGATTACTCCCATTTGAATAGATGGCGGCCATGTTGGTCGTTCCCACTTGCTAATAAACGCTTAAAAACAACGATAACTTTCATCACTTGAAAACTTTAAAAACGTATTTGGAATAGGGTTAACTTAATGTTTAAGTTCCCTGTTTAAGAAATAGAAAACATACGAATCTTCTCATTTTATGGGAACGACCTGAGACTGCAATCACGGCTTCAATTTTTGAATTTCAGAATAATTAGATGCACTATCTAGTGTATATAAGATATCTATGGTCTTACCCCATCACGCGTTTGTGATTCCTTAGATTTATTTGCTTGATTACCTCGACCTAAAACAGCATATAATAACAACACATAAAGCCTTAGTGAAACGAGAATTGATGAGAGTTATAACTCTCGCTCGCTTTTGACCATCAACTCTTGTCAACTGTCATCGACTACTGTAGTTCCAATTTTTAACGAGTGTTGATCGATAAGCATTGTTGGAAAATATCCAGCAGAACCGTTGGCAGGAAATTCATAACAAAATATCTTTGCAGGAAATTTTCTTACTTCGTACAAGGAAATTTTTGTCATTGCATGACATGGAATGCAATTCACTGATTGTTTACAAAAGCGTTTTGCAAGTCGAGATTGTCTTGCGCTGTGATTGAAGTTTATCACAAATGTGCGCCACCATACATAACATGCAGTTATCAGTGGCGGACACTTTACGAAATTTTGGGGGGCTCGTCCGAAGCCGAAGGCACAGAAAAGTTTTAAAATTTGAATCCTGGAAATGGCATTTGCAGCATTCTGAGAACACATTTTTTAAAAAACCAGGGTTTCAAAACACTGTTTTAATGGACCAGGTGCGTTTTTGTTATAAATCACGCTAAGCATATGGCGCTTTCCATTAACACGGCCAGACCGGTCAGTACGATCAAATTGTTGAATGAAACACAAAAAATTTGGGCTTCGGACCTATCTGACCAGAAATGTTAGATAACATTAGAACGAGGTCCATTTTCGCTAGATATTTGAGAAACAATTAGACCAGATCTTTCCATTGACACAGAGAAAAGAACTTGGGTCTGACCGGTCAGGCCACTAAATGGAAAGCTGTCACATAGAAAACCAACATTTCACAACAGGGCTTAAGGGCAGGAGCCACGGAACCGGGGGGGGGGGGTCGATGAGGGCATGTGCCCCCGTCTTTTTTTAAAAGTGAAAAAAGGCTCTTTTTCTGGCCTTAAAAAAGACTCTGTAAGGCCATTTCCGGCGTTATAGAGACTGCATATTTTCAAAAATTTTCGTTCAGCTCGTGAACGTCATAAAATCGTTTGATTTTGGTCATATACAAAAGTGCCCCTTTTGGTCAATGCCCCTCCACTTTCGAAATGCTTTCGTGATTATAAAATGATTAAATTCATATAATGGTCAATATCATATAATTTCACCTGAATCAACAACATCTGAATTTTTGACCACCTTATCCTCATTTTGCTTCTTGAGAAAAACATCTACTGAAGGCAGCATATTGTGGCTATTTTCTACGTACAACCCGGCGTTGTCTTTGTCAATTCTATAACCATGGTCATGGCGCTTACAATCCATCTAAAGGATAAAAATCCATTTAAACCATGGAGCGGCAACACTCTCCCCTTGTTGAGTAAAATCATGTGGTGCTAGACAGAGTGAAGTATAATGTGGGGCATATTAGGTCACACTGCAACTTTTAAAATGAGTTAAATAATTACTGATGAGTGGGGACTAAAAATGCGGACAAAGTTCAGCATATTTGTGTGAATGGACAGGAGTCTTGGAGATGTCCTTGAATACTACTCACAACAAATTAAGGAAATATATTCTTTTAAAAGATAACTAGGAAGTTATTGTGAGAATTTTCTTTGACGTTTTTCGTTTCCAAATAATAATTTATGGCATTGGTTCAACACTGTGGGCACATTAATATATTGCGTATCTCCACAGTGGTTTCAACATGCCGATTTTTACTCCATCTGACAATTTCTCTATAAATAAGCTTCCTCCCATAAGTGTGAGCTACATAATGCCTTTTCGTGTGCCTTTTTGTGGGTTCCGAATAGATGTATCAAGCTCATTTTACAGTTGGTTTTAGTCATTGTCCATTTTTTAGTCCTCGCCCATTAGTAAACACATGATTGGGTAGTTACCTGCCGCATACCCAGGTGCTTTAAATAATTATAATACTGTACTCAATGTATTCAGGCAGGCGCGAAGAGGTTGTTGGGAAGGGTCAGCAGCCATCAGCCCCTTCTCTCGCCACTACAATACTTCATGATTGTAAACTCGTCATATGCGCATCACTGGGTTTTTTACAAAGAGACGCCTGGGTACGAGGCAGGGTAGATACTGCCAGATAATTGGGCTAACCGATTCAGCACCTTGGCCCGACTTATTATCAGTGGCTTACTCACTGCTAGAGAAGTCCATTATGGACCTGCTATTAATGGAATAATTTGATATATCATATTTGTGTCAATGGACAGGAGTCTTGGAGATGTCCTAGCTTTGACATTTTTTGTTTCCAAATAATAACTTATGGCATTGGTTCAACACTGTGGGCACACCTAATATATTGCGTATCTCCACAGTAGTTTCGACATGGATTTTTACTCCATCTGACAATTTCTCTATATATAAATATTAAGCTTCCTTCCATAAGTATGAGGTAATGCCTTTTCATGTGCGTTTTTGTGGGTTCCGACTTCCGAATAGATGTGTCAATTTACAGTTGGTTTTAGATTGTCCATTTTTTAGTCGTCGTCTATTAGTAAATACATGGGTATAGATATGTATACCTGCCTTGTACCCAGGTGCTTTAAATGATTATATTTACTGTACAATCATGAAGTATTCAGGCAGGCCACTTAGCGCGAAGGGGTTGTTGGGACGGGTCAGCAGCCATCAGCCCCTTTGCGCTTCTCTCGCCACTGCAATACTTCATGTAAACATGTCGTATGCGCAACGCTGTTTTTTTTTTACAAAGAGATGTCCGGGTATGAGGCAGGGTAGATATAACTGCCAGATAATTGGGATAACCCATTCAGCACCTTGGCCCTCCAATAATGCATGAGTAAAATTGTCCAGATGGCATTGAGAGTACTGTAAATTAGCAAAGTTGGGCAGATTGGGGTGCAATGCATTGTGGGTTAAATATATCCTCTGGGACAGTTGTCAGGAAGGGCATTAGTGCCTTTCAACAGACTCTTGTGAAAAGTTGCTCCAGTTTCCAGTGCCCAGTGCTCCAGTTTCCTCCCACAGAGAAAGTTGACAGGGTGGCAAATCATAGTTAGGAAAATAATATTACATTTTGTTGTATTACTGTAATTATAAGGTATGTTACTTGGTAATACTGGTCACAAAAATTTGGCTAACCACAACTAGTTCATATATGTAAATATAATAATACTAACTAATTAGGCACTGCCATATATGAGTCATTGAGTAAATAATTATCAAGATTTCGTTTACTTAACCCATTGATCCCCATTGACGACTAAAATCATCTGGTATAGACAAGTAAAAAAAGTAGGGCGCACTGGGGCAAAATTATGGCTCAATGGGTTAACTAGAGACATTGTCATTTTGGTTAACCCATTAAGCTGCAGAGCTTCACCATTGACAATCATAAAATCGTCTGGAGTTTAGACAAGTAAAAAAAAATAAGCAGGGCGGGTTAACATAGATCTCACACAATTGAATAGTAGTTGAAGGGTCTTATAGATGTGAAAAATACAGCGGTTTATACAGCTGCAAAAAATGCAACCACATACGTACTAGGTCGGTAGGTCCTCTGGCATAATCAAACCTGACCGGCCTGCAATAGGCCAGTTCGCCTGACTGGAAAGTTTGGAAATTGCATGCCGGAGATTTCAAAAATTTAATAGTAAATATATATTAAACATCTAAATTGCACAGCCGATATCCCCGCCGTGCGATACAAACTTTCCACACTGGGGCCTTCGTCTGAGATATTGAAATTCTCTTGTTGAGGCCATGCTTCAACTAGATTATATCACAGAAGACATATAATTTTTGCAGCCGTTTCTGGTTAGGTCTAAGAGGCCGATTACATGGAGGTTTTCAGCCCGGCAAACTGGGATGAAATTTCAGCCCGGGGCCCCTTATCAATTCAAAATAAAATGAATTTTACGCTTAGTACATGGAAAAATTTCCAACCCGGGCTGAATTTCAGCCCGGGTTGAAAGTTTCATGATCCCGGTTTATGTCACCCGGGATGAGATTGTCAGTCCTGTCAACCGGGATGAAATATCCCATGTAATTGCAAATAATTTCAGCCCGGGCTAAAAAAACAATCGTTTAAATGGCTTTATTTTGCGTTTCGTCTCATCTTTAATACTTTATATGCAACCACAGTCTTACTCAAGTCAAATAGTCGAGTCAATCGGTGTTTTAAATGCTCAAACAAGCGGAATATTCCCTTTCGTGATATCGTATGATTTCAGCCCGGGTTTGTTTACTACAAGGGATAAATATACTGTAGCTCTGACTAAAACTCAGCCCGGGTTCAAATTGTCCATGTAATCGTGATGCTATTTCAGCTCGGTTAACCGGGCTGAAATTCAGTCCGGGCTGAAAACTCTCCATGTAATCGGCCCCTAATAAATGTATACAAATTTACACTTGATAATTTCTATCTACAAAACCGTTCAAGGCACAAAATCTAGTACAATAAATTTTAATACCAAACCATATCATTATTTCTAGTCAAGAGAAATTCCAAGAAGTCTACGAAGACCTTCAAGTCATTTATTGAATACTTGAGCACTTGACAACTTAATACTTTACCTCAGTTTAATAGACGAACGTTGAACGTAAACAAATAGCCTGGCAACCTTCTGACTTTTCCCACAAAAACAACAAAACAAAATGACAGTAATTCGGAACCCAAATACAAAATATACGTCTGTCAAACCTTTTCCACCGCAACGACGGTTAAAAATAAAACAAAAACAACTATAACATCAATTTTTCTCTTCGTATTTGTTGGGAATTATTTAGTAGCCGCGAATTGTAAGTCATTAGAATGAATTATGGATCATTAAATTTTAATAAAAACATCTGTATAATAATATTTGGCTGTCAATTTCACACGGGAAATGCAATTGCATATGCAACAAAGTCGAAGCAAACATTTTGCCTTGTTTATTGTCCAGGCAGAAACGTTTTTAAATGCACTAACGGGGATCGTTATCGCTGAAGGTATTGTGGAATTACAATGGCGAATATATGCAACTTTTCTACCAGAAAAATGTAAACAAAGACTTGGGCCACTTGGCAGCAAAGGTCCCAAATCGGAATGGTTCCTGGCGATTATTTAAACGTTCATACTAGATTGTATCAACGCTGATATACTGTTTTTACCTCCTTAAGACGATGAATCTTTTCATCACTCAGCTTGTATTTTCCTTCGTGCCAATCGTAATAGAATTTTCGATGTTCATCGGAAGCCATTTTCAATTTCGTACTCGTAACTCGTTGCACATTTCAAAAGAGCCGCTTGCGACTGTGTCGAGTGTAGCAGGGCCCAGGCCATAGATATAGCCCTACCGTATATATGGATGTCTAAGCCCCGTTTACACTAGGCTTGATTTTTGGTACCGTACCAGTTTTTTGGTTCCTGGACTACGTACCTATTAAAATAGGTAGTTCAAGAACCAAAAAAGTGGTACGGGTACCAGTTTTATCCATTCGTACCAAAAATTGAGCGTATTGTAAATGGGGCTTTAGTTACCAAAGAAAGTTCCCAAGAAAAATACTTGCCAGTTCATCACCAAATATTAAAAGTACTAGAAGTACTAGATACAATGAACAAACATGCACAAAGAGTCTACATTAAATAATTAGTTAGCCTGGCAGGGGTGTAGAAAAGGGGAAGCTCCGGGTGGGGGGCAGTCCCCCTTGCTAAAAATTTCATGCCAATTTGGGGGGGTGGGGGGGCTCAGTCCCCCTTCCTAAAAATTTCATGCCAATTTGGGGGCTGACCACCTAATATTTATCCAGATTGCATATCCATAACCTGAAATTAAGAGTATTACAACAATCATACTATCACTATTAATTAGGTGATGTATGTGACTCCAACATAAAACATCTTTGGCATATCAGAATTGTTTATTTGATGTTAAGTCCTTTCTTCAAAAAACACTAATTGAAGAACATTAGAACCAAAAATAAATACTGCAACTTTCCATGTTTATCATGTTGCACCCTCCACGCATTGTCACCAACACCCTCACATCTTGTCACCCTCGCATCTTGTCACCCCACTCCCCTATGAGAACCCCCCTTGCACAGGAGAGCATCCCGGTGTTACAGGAAATTTGCCCCCCCCCCCGAAAATTTGGCCTAGCAAAAATTTGGCCCAGGGGGGGGAAATTTGGGGGGGGGGCAAATTTCCTGGGACACCGGGTCTTATTCAAGTTATATATTAGCATTACATTATTATACATACTGAAATATATAGCTCATATCCTCTGGCTCATATCATTTCAGTTCTACATAACGAGATCATGCAATGTCAATCTTGAAAAACATTACATGAAGTAGAAAATATGTGCAACTCACGTTCGGTTTTTCTCGGTCCGTTTTTTAGTCACTCGGGGCATTTTCGGAGACATTTCGTGCCTTCGTTGTGCCTTCGTGTCGTGCAGTTGTATTTTTGTCATATAATTTTGAATTCTCTTCTTTCTAAATTTACAAAGTTGGAAGTTTGGAATTATTTTACGATGCAACGCGTCCCATTTTGTGGCACCTGTTGCAAGCCTTACGCCTTACAAGGCTCTGGAAAACCCGTGGGACAGCGCATTCCGAAATTATTGGACTGTTCGCATACTCTTTGTCAAGGATGTGTTACAAAAATCGCTGGGAATCAAGCACATGTTTTGAATTGCCCAACGTGCAAAGAACAGACTGTGTTGTCAGGCGGTAAGAAAAACATTAAAAATTTACCTACTAACTTGTATATCCTTGGTATTTTGATCAATAACGTAAGGGCAAATATCGAAAACGACATAACAAAGGATGAACTGCTCGATTTTGAATTTGAGAAGGGTTTTACAAAGGCTGGGGGGCGAAATGAGCCCAGGGACGGAGGGGTGGCCCCAGAAGTGGCCCAGGCCGAGGAAAATGCGAAAGTTTGTGACGAATGTTCTGAAAATGCCGCGATAAGTCAATGTCAAAAGTGTGAAGCGATATTTTGTGAAAGTTGTTTCGATTCCATTCATATGTCTTCTCGTACGCTCCGCTCTCATAAAGCCATCCCCTTAGCTTTGACCCACTTATTCGGCGTGACGACCCAAACGTGCGAAACCCATGAGGGGCGAGAGCTGGAGTTTTACGACCACACCGATGGGAAACTCATCTGCTCATTATGTATAGTAACCCCCGCCTATCAGGGTCATAAGATAGTTTCCGCCCACGAATTGACTAACGAGATTACAGATAAAATCAAGCAAAGTCTTCAGAATGTTAAGAAAGTCCATGCCCAGTTGCAAAAGTCGAAGGGAAAGCTGTCGTTGTTGTCTCCTGAAATTAAAACCGAGTTCAGTGATGTCGTGCAACATATTCGAGAGCATTTTCAAGATCTGCATACGAAATTGCAAGCGAGAGAGGTCAACCTTATCAAAGCAGTGAAAGATGCGTATTGCAGCAAAACTTTCCCAGCCGAACTAACTGAAGAAGTGAACCGACAGAGTGAGGAAATTGGAACATTGATCAACCAAGTTAACACAGCATTATTTGCCCCTTCAATCATGATGAAAGTTGGGGAAACCCTCTTGTCCAAAATGGCCGATTTTGAAGATATTCCATGTGTTCTCCCAGAATCGTTCCTACATGATCTTGTCAAGATTTCCTATTCGAAAGAATTCCAGGATGCCTTGAATTCCTATGGTACCATTGTATCGGAAAGTTCTAGCCTGAAGCTGAATAAGATTTCTGAGCAACCTGATGATTTCGATGAAAACGAAGAGCCATCTGCTGTTGTAAGTACGAAGCCCGGAGACTATCCGAAGGCAAACATAGCCCAAACTAGATCCGGTCCGACTATACTAACTATGCCCTCGCGTCAAAATTTAGTGACAGTTTCGCACATCAGTACCCCTACAGACTTTTTCATTCAACATGTTGCCGATTCCGAAAGGCTTGAAAACCTAATGGATGCCATTCAAACTCGCTGTGAAGGAGCCAAGAGTATGAATGATGCAGTCAAGACTACCCAAGTGGGAGACCTGGTTTGTGCCAAGGGTGAAAGCGACGACTGGTGGTACCGTGCTAGAATCATTAGTGAGCAACAACAAGCCAGCGCACCCAAGGGTCGTAACCAACCCCTACCGAAGGTTAAAGTTTACTTCATTGATTATGGCAACACGGAAGTGGCGCCCCTGAACAGGCTTCGTAAGATACCACCCAACTTCGCCGACCTTCCAGAGCTTGCCACAAACTGTTCATTGGTAGATATTGTACCTCCAGGACAATGCAAGACATGGCCTAATGGGTCAATCAAAGCATTGGGGAGCATGGTCCGTGACAAGCACCTCCTTATGGCTGTCATAAAGAAAAGAGGTGGAAAGCTCCTTGTTGATTTGAAGAGTCCCGATACAGATCGGAGCACAGCTAGTGACAAGCCTGCATCTGTTCGTGATGCCCTTGTTTTCCTAGAAGTTGCACATTTTACTAGTCCAGCATCAGTTCCAAACCCAGATGTTGCGTTTCCAGTTCATACCTTCCCGAACGTTACTTTACCCAAAGAAGGCGAAACATTACAAGTGACAGTGACGTACACGGAAACACCAGATGCTATGTATGTTCAGAAGTATAATGGAGCAGAGTATGATGATATGTTGAAAATACTACAACAAATGTTGAATGTATATACATCCAAAAGTGGAGATCAGTGGCAGATAGGTTGGCCATACAAAGATATGGTTTGTGCTGCGAGATACAGCGAAGATCAGAATTGGTATCGTGCTTTGGTCAAGGATGTTTCTGCTGTCAAGAGTGTGAAAGTCCTCTTCGTTGACTTTGGGAATTCTGAAGAGTTGCCCTTCAGCGAGATTCGTCGTCTTCCAGATCACCTGTCAAAACTACCAACACAAGCTATGAAGTGTCGTTTGGCTGGAATAAAGCCTGCTGATCAAGGAGAAGGATGGAGTAATGAATGCGGTTCCTTTCTTAATGATAATTGTTTCCTGCATCCATACCGCATGAAAGTCATTGAAACTGAAGGTGACGAGGAACCAATGTCAGTTGTTTTGTACCTACCAACTCCCCAGGAAGCTTCGTCACTTAACCATCAGCTGGTCCTTAGTTCTCATGCAGCTTTATCAACTGATGCGGAATGTCTTGAGACAGCCAGTGTTGAGGAACCATCCTCACCAGCAAGCAATGCCAGCACACGAGCCAGCGAGGCTGATGATAGTACCTCGAGCATCAACAATGAGCAACGAAAATTACTTTTCCCTCAAAGATTATCTTACATGCCGGTTGACATGCCTGAAAGCAACCAATTCCAGTTTCTTGTGACTTATGTTGACAAGGATTGTACCATATCTGGTTTCCAGCCCGATAAGCGTGATCATTCGCTAGCAGATCTGATGAGACATATGCAAAAGATTTGTAAAGGTAAAGACGGCCCTTCGGTGACCCAAGACCAGTTGTCCTTTAACCAACCATGCTGTGCTAAATATTCTACCGACAACGAGTGGTATCGAGCACAGATTGTCAGTTTCCCAACGTCATCGACAGTCTTGGTCGACTATGTTGACTTCGGTAACAGAGAGGAAATACCTCTAAAAAGCATCAGTCTCAATGCGGCTTTTCTCGATATACCAAAGCAGTGTATAGCAAGCAAACTTGAAGGTCTTCCTCAAACACCAGTTGAACAAGAGAAAGTTTCCAAGTTGCTCGAAGGCTTGTTGGTCGGGGAGATATGCGAAGCAGTTACATCAACAAAGTTTACCATAGATGGTGTGATCAATATCGAACATTTGACTTTACCAGATGGAAGAGATGCTGTTGATGCTGCAAGAGACATGATGATGAGACAGCGTAAAAAACTGGAAGAAAAACCCCGTGTAAGTCAGCCGCTAAAACAGTCCACAGCTGTAGAAACTCGACAAGATGAAAAGAGAATGAGCGAGAAAATGAAGTCTCGACCAACAAAGTCCATACTTGCTGATACTGTTCTTCCAGCTGAAGGCATACCATTTGATGTTGCCGTGACTCAAATTAACTCCAAAAGTGTTGTGTTCCTCCAAAGAGAAATTCCGTCTGAAGACAGCCCCAGATTAGCTGTTGGTCATGATCCTACTCATATCATTGCTTGCGATCACTTACACCAAATGCTGGACATGTCTAACAAAATCAACTTGGAGAATTACTTCAATGGCAAGCCAAATGTCAGCGACGTTTGGAGTAATATGTTGTGCTGTGGGAGATACACAGAAGATGATTTATGGTACCGCGCACAGGTTATCGAAGTGGTTACAAATGACCCGTTGCAAGCCCGTGTGCTTTATGTTGATTATGGAACGTCTGAAGTGATTGGATTGGAGAGGATGAAGGCATTTGCGGCAGAGTTAGCGTCACTGCCCAAACAAGCATTTCAATGTACTGTGATCGGACTGAATGAGGAGAATGGTGATTCTGATGATGATATTGATTCCTTGGCGAATGCAGTGACTGACAAAAAACTTATCTGCAAAGTTGTGAGTTTTGGACCACCAATTCTTGTCGAGCTGTATGAAAGAGTGTTTAATGAAGAGTCTTATGAAGATGTTCCAATAAGCCAAAGAGTGTCAGAACTTGATGTTATGGCTGATGAATTTGAAAATGATGCGGATGAGGATACTACGAGTAGCGAAGAATTAAGTGAAAAGGAGGAAACGGTTGCAGCGAAAGAAGAAAATGAGCAGGTGGACGGTGAAACAGAAGATTTCACAAGCGATGTTAACCCAGTCGGAGATTGGTACTCGGAGTGTGAAGAGACTTTCATGACATATGATCGAGAAGGACTGTCGACTCGGCCGCAGCTATTAACACCGGCTCAGTTCTTATTGAAGAAAGAAAATGTGGTCGAGCATGAAAAGACCATCGAGGTACAAGAAGAATCCGAAGTTGATTGAACATCTATTTGAACTGTTGGGTGTTTTGACATTATTTCTGGGATATGTAAGTTTAAAAAAGACTTTCATTGTTTTGTTATGTTTTGTTAAGAAATTTTGGGAGATAGTTTTTATATAGTATTGAGGCCATTTGCAAAATCTGAAACAGTAGCTAAATGTCTAGTTTGCCAAAATTTCAGTACTAGATATTAGAAAACTTTGTTTTCTTGCGTTTTTGATTTGTATTTTTCCAAACTAGACATACTGATTATGCATATGCTGCCGACATGATAAAACAATGGTATGCAGTTATACGGCATTTGGCGTACGGAAATGGGCAATTCCAAAACTTTTAAAATGAGGAAATGACGTCCTTTTCGCTCGATCTCAACATGTTACGGTTTAACACGCCAGCTGAGATTGAACGCCATTTTGTTATAAAATTTCACGAAAGTATAATGAATAATTTTAATAAGGTGTATGTAAGTTTAAGACAACGTTTACACCAGAGCAAAAGTTTTCGGATTCTACGAATCCTGGGTGTTTTAATATCGGATTCATTTGCCGTTTACACGACACGAGCATGAAAAATCCGATTTAAAATGGCCGAAGAAAGAGTATAAACCCGAAACTTTCGAGTCGGGAAAAATCTCGTGTAAACATTTTGCGCAAATAATTCGAATAAATTTGCTCCCGCCTATACAGTAAGTTTTTCAAATTTATTGTCAGTGTTAAAATAAATTTGGCAGCCAAACATTGCATAATTAATTAACAGTGTTAAAATTATACTGATTACTTTGACAATTGCTGTGTATAGTGTAAACACCTCGCGAATCTGTATACGTAAAAAAACAAGGAATCCGGATACTTTCGTCCACGAATCCTGAAACTTTTGCCTTAGTGTTAACCGTAACCTATACAACGTTTCATAAAGGCCTGTCATTATGGAAACGAGTTACTCGGTTACCTTTTTTATATACACTGTATAGTACTGGGCTTGCTGAGATCCAGGCAGAGAAATGTGAATATTTTGTCGTTTAAACCCTTTAAACTCTTTTAAAATTAGGAACCTGAAAGGCTGCCGTGCATAAATCACTGTTTATTTTGCAAACGGCTTTATAGTTGGGTGAACAAAGATTGAGTGAAACATTGCACTTATTCGTATATATGTTATTATTTAGATATATAGAGCCTATATGTACCAGGGTTCGAAATAACTATCTGTGGCCAGTTGTACTGTACTGTATACGAAAGCTGCATGGATGGCGCTATCTATGGGGTAGTGATTACTTCTCAAGCTTTCTTAAATTGGCCACTGACTGGACCCAGATCAAATTTCAGTATCTAAAAATTAAAGATTTTAATTATAGGATCCATATCGGTAGTTCCAACTCGTAATATCACTTTTTGAGCATTTTTGCAACGGTTGAAAAAACCCAGCAGCGTTATTCGTCCTTCGTATATGTACAACGACTACTTGTCAATTCTAAGTGATTTTCACAAACGCCTGATAGGGATAGAAAGTACTTCCTGTCGCTTGCTACAGGTTAAGCATCACCTAAACAAACACCGTTATTAATATGGAGTATGTATGTATGGACAGATGACAATCTACTACCTGTTTCTTAACTCTTCAACAGAATTTTTTTTTAAATTATCACCTTTTTTGCTTAACTGTTCTTGGAGTGCATGTTATAAGGAGTATATACTGCAGGTTAAATAATAGAGGAGGCAGCTTTGACAGGCAAAGATGCGCTATCTACCGCTACGGGCAGGGAAAAATAGGAACATTTAATATCGAACCCTGTGTACACAATTTACTAATATATGTTATTAACAAGTTTTGTATGGACTTGTATGATTTCGTCTTGTCTATTTTGGTCTTTCGTTTTGTGTGTGATTTCGTCTTGGTATTCTGGTCAAAATAATCACAATTGTGATTAAATGAATACATGTAAATGCGGCAAATTGTGTAGTTTTAAAAGCTAAAATATTTGAAGACGGTTTAATGCCAAAAGCTCCTTTATTTATTCACAAAGAGTATATACAATATACACACTGCAATATATAAACTTCTGCACAGTCATACAGATTAAACATTCGATATTGACAGACGCGGCTGTTTGAAAAGTTTCAATCTAATTTATACGTGGTACCAGGACTAAGTTTCACTTGTTCTATTATTCTTTGGCTAAATCTTTTACCGCATGCATCACTACTAATACATTATAAATATTTAGAGTATTTGAATATAAATGTAGAATTCTAAATTAATACATTTATTATAGAATCCTAACCATAACTTTGAATCACTATATAAGTAACTTTAAACCGCAAGAGAACACTCCGCATTTTAAACACTCCGCATTTTAAACTCTCCGCATTTTCAACACGCCGCACATTCAACACTCCGCATTTTCAGCACTCGCGCATTCCACACTCCGCAGTTTCAACACACCGCACATTCAACATGGTAAACTATAATTTATTTAGCTATGACAGTTGTCCGTTATTGTGAATTGAGTATAAACAGACGTGAAGCAAATTTGCAAAAGCTGTATAACAATAGCCTTGATTTTCTGTTGATTTTTTGCCGTATTTAAGTATACTATTTTAAGCACGACTAGGAGTGTTTTGTCGTATTCAAAATGCGAGGGCGTATTGTGGAATTTAAAAACATAGGACTTCAATTCGCAATGTAATATTACGTGAGTACAATACATCCAGTCAGTTTATTCCTGTGACTGTGCTTATAGGACCTTTTCCACTAGCCTTACATCTCTAACTTAGCATTGCACGGCCCCCTTACCGTTCTGTATAGTAAAGACTGTAAAGTACACTATGTTATGGTGTTTTACTCTTTAATATTGTTTTAATAATAGTTCTTTGTTTGTATTGACGGTATGAAAATCATTTTTACGATATGCAATCCATTTGATTTTGCTTTTTGTTCGACTTTATTTCGTTCGACTTTAGCCGGCAATACTCAGACTTTATAACTTTAGTAATTGAAGTTTGGTTCAAATGTTTTGCAATTGTTATATCGCGAAAATTTCATATAAAAATAGCACGTTGATTAGAATTTTAATTGTGTTATTTAATAGATCCGGATCAAGCCGGCTACAGGCGAGCACGTTTTCTTACGACAAACTTTCTTCGTCAATTTCACGTGTGTACGTCGATTTTTCCGCCATTTTTGGGGTACAGCCTCTCCCACGTTTGAGAGTCTCCGCACCACGAAATACAACTTTTTAGTATTGTAGTTGTTTGTATATATATATAATGGTAAATTTACAGTTACAACGTTTAAAAGTCGCTTTTCGCGTTGTTTGAATTGTCTAGAATATTTCACGAGGGCAGACATGAGTACCCCAAAAATGGCGGATTTTGGCCTTCGTGAGAAAAGCTAATTGTACTTGCCATAGTAAAAATTGGCAAAGTTGCCTGTACAGACGAGCAAATAGATCTTGTCATATGACATATGAAAACTTGTTCATCTGTAATCGGCTTTATATTGTAGTCACTGAACTCGAGCCGAGATCAGACTACGCGAAGGCTAATCAAAGGCTCTTTCGGAGTATTTATATAGAGGCGAGTCAAGCCGATTTCATCCCGTGTTTAGGTACATGAGACTTTCGAGACGAGGTAGCTCGACGAAACAAACACTAGGCCCACCGCTATTATAAGCACATGCAACGCTGTCGCTAGAGTAGCTAATTAATTTATATATTTTTGTAAACTATATTTGATACTTCTGCTGAAACTAAACAGCTTTACTTTGCGCTATATTATAACCATCATGGGTAAAAATATGTGAAACATTTTATCTTGGAGTCGCAGACTTAGCAGAAATATCTGGACTCGTTTATTACAAGTTATTTTTAATTAAGTTAATGCAATGTCAATACCAGAAAATAAAGGATCTTTTATATGCTATTTTATCCTGCTGGCAGTGCCCGAGCAGGGGGGCACAATGCTTTAACCTTGCATTGTCATCGAAAATACATGTAACATGATCAACAGTTGGCGAAACTTCAGTTCGTAACTGGATCTATATAGCTAGCCCGTCTAAGCGAGATAATGAACTTCTCAATTGCGGTTATACTGTATGAACCAGGCTGAAGCAAACGCATTAAACCTCGTTTAGATTGGACATTTTAATAGTTGAATAATCGTTGCTAAATATTAAGTAAAAATGTTTATCGGCTACATTTTAGGGCTTGTTGCTGTAATTACTTCAGTACTGACACAAATAAGTTTTCTCCTCTTGAGGTTGTACATTTGTAATGTCTTTTTTGTTGATTGAAATGCAGAATTTATATACATTTTATATAAAATAGAATTCATATAAAATTATTCTAGCCACGAAATAGCTTTATTCTTCAACAGCAGTCGTGGGCTTTGCTTGGAAAATTACCTTTTCGAAAGTGTGAAGCATTCTGCATTTTCTAGTCTAATCTATCATTTAGTATATTAAAAAACAAACCATATTTAAATACACTCTTGCTGAAAGTGCTCAAGTCATGGCTCACCCTTCCGGACAGTGGTCAGTCGAGCCTCATATTCGTGTTTAATTTAAGATATTGGGTTTAGAGCCCTTTATCTAATTGTTAAGGCTGTTTTCCACTAGGCGGAATTTTCCGCTCGCAGCGGAATTTCTCTTTGTCTTTTCTAATTAATTCCACCAAAGAAATCACAAGACAAATTAAGAAAAATTCCGCTCCGCGCGGAAATTTCCGCCTAGTGCAAAACAGCCTTTACAGCTGACACATTCGGGAAATCATGCAGTTATATCAATGAATATGAAAGACTTGTTTATAAGATAATAAGATAAAAGGCTGTAGAACCAATGATTCTATAGCCAACGAGACTCTATAGCCACGCCTAAGTACTTTCCGGAAGGGTGTATTAGCGTGATACAATGTCTGAAACATAAAAGCTCTTTATTCATGACATTTCATGTATTGAAAATAATTTGATGTGTCATCAAACACAGTGCTTTTATCCACTGCGGCGTCATAAACACAGGAAAACTGTTTGAAAAATATCAAGATGATGGACGCAGTAAAGGATTATTTAACGCCGAAGACATTCAGTATTTGGGCATACGCATGGTCGATCATTCACTGTCTTTGTGGCGCGGTATTTACAGGTATTGTTATTGCTTTGAAAGAGGGAGAAGCTGGGAAATTTACTTGTTATGTCGCGCCTGAAAGTACACTGATATACAAGACACAAGTCGACAAAGCATGTTATTCAAAATATCAACAGAATTACAATTCCCCACTACCATTTTATGTCTTTGTCATTCTGAGTATTTGGTTCCCGATTGTTGTCGCTGTTATCTATTCACTCTGCGTCCGACGTCGTGTTGAGGAAATCGACTCTAGTAATGAACCGCAAACTCAAGGCGAAGCAGACAACCAGGTACAGAACAGAACTTTGTATGTCTATTATTTCTATTTTTTCCACCTTGCTATCCGTGTCCTATCTGGAATACTGTTTACTATCCTACAGTATACAGTGTTATTTCCAAGTGGTTTCGATTTCAAGTTTAGCTGTAATCAACTGCCAACAGGGTTTACGACCAAGATAGCAAAGAATGCGAGTGCCAGTCAGTTGAATGGTAAATTTATTACTTGTGAGAATTCGAGTGCATCTGATAAACAGTTGTGGTCGACCATGGTATCTGTATTAAACACGATTTTTGCCTTAATAATATTTGTGGAAGTGATTCGTCTTTGCCGACGATTTCCAAATTGTAAGTATATAGTCGGTTGGAGCTGTGATACCAAATTCATAACAGTTTATCTGTTACGAAAACCGAATACGTTTGTAGATTATGACGATGTTGAACTTGAATTAATGAACCGGGAGGAATGTACAGATTTTTACCAAAGACAGGTTTTAGAACGTTCTCGTACAACTGACGTAATTTATGGACCGAAAACTGCTTTAGATGATTTGTATATTAATCTTGTTATTCATACAGAACGAGCTCCACACGAATTTTCGGAAAACCTGGAACGCCATGAGATATTCGATGTCTATATGGAAGTTCCTAAACACTCTATTCGTCTGAAGGAGGCAAAAGATTTATTTTATCCTGAAGAAGATACAAGCGGAAGTTTTCCTCGCAATATTCTAGTGGTTGGTCGTCCTGGAATAGGAAAAACTGTCTTGACTGAAAAGATTATGCGTGATTGGGCTAATGGAATTGATAAATTTTATCGTGGCAAAATTGCCTTCTACTTTAAATTTAGGTGGTTCAATTCAAACGAACTGAAAGACATGACTCTTAAGACTTTTCTTCGTTGTGGAACAGAACTGAGCGATGAAGAATTTGAAAAAATTTATGAGGATACAATAAAACGCCCTGAAAAAATCGTTCTTATTTTCGATGGTTTGGATGAATTTAATGGCAACATCGACTGCTTAGACCACTTACCGCCTCCAAACGATCCTAATATTTGCATGTTTGGGATTTCATTGTTTATGAAACTTATTTCTGGCCGCTTATTATCAGGAGCAACAGTTCTAGTAACGAGTAGGCCAACTGCGAATGAGTTTTACTCCAGGTTTGCTTTTGATAGAACTGTCGAGATTATTGGTTTCACTTCAGATAAAGTTGAAGAGTATGTGAGCAAATTCTGTGAGAATCATAAAAGAAAGGATTTAAATCCAATTATATGGAACCACATAAGATCCTCCTCGGACTTGTTCAATCTATGTTACATTCCTGTAAATAGCTTCATCGTATCTACAGTCCTGTTTGGGTGTCTTAGTGATCCTAGAATTGATACCACTACTACCGGTGCTCTACCAACAACACTGACTGAACTTTACGATGCAGCTATAACCCATTTTGATAAACATCACTACAGAAAATTACACGGACAATCTTCTGAGATAGCAATGAAGAAACTTCAATTATTGGCATACAATGGAATTGTACATGGACAATTGGTTTTCAATAACGGACTATTTGATACACAAATGAACAGATCAGGTCTATTGAACAGTTTAACCAACCCCATTTTCCCAATTCAAACACAATATTGTTTCATTCATTTAACTATACAAGAATTTCTTGCTGCAAGGCACGTGATTGAAACGTTTGCTCCTGAAGAAATAAAGAAGTTTATTACCTCTCATATTGCAAGTGGTAAATGGCATTTAGTGCTCCAGTTTATTGCTGGTCTTTTGGGCAAGAAATTAAAGATGTTTAACAGAAATGACTACGAGGATTGTGTTTTGGCGTTTATCATTATGTTGACTGTCGGTAATGCTAAACTTGACCTTAACAGTTCAGTGTTTGTAATAAAATGTTTGAGGGAAGCGGATGATGAGGACGTTGTTAAAAAAGCTTGCGAAACAACTGCTATGAATGATGTCGTGAGTCTAATATACGCTCCGCCGGATAATGCACTAACCGGCTTTACCCCAAGTGACTGGGCAGCAGTGACTTTCGTTTGCAAACACATGAAACAATTATCGGCATTAGATCTGGATCTATCTCAATCAAGTGAAAAATGTCATCTTGAAGTTATGAAATTGCTACAGCAAAGATGCATAAAAGAACTGACGTTGATAGTCAAAGGATTTGGCGGTAGTTACTTGGCGGTGAATCATGTATTTGTAACATTCATGAACTCAAGGTGTATTCTGAATCACGAGCACAGTAAGTTGACCAAGTTACAACTTCAATATTGTCACGTAACTGACGAATGTTTATCCACCATGTGCGAGTTTTTTACGAGTGGACATGCAAGATATCTTCGTGTACTAGACCTAACGAGTGATGAAATAACTGCTCGTGGGGTATCCAAACTTTGTGAAGTCCTTGACAATGAACTTTGTCCAAAGCTTACAATGCTGGATCTTGGCTTTAATGGCATCCTTGATGAGGGTGTAAAAGTGTTGTGTAACGCTCTTATTGAACACAAGCTAGTTACGCTTACTCAGCTGTATCTTTTGTGTTGCTCACTAACTGATGAATGTATACCTTCCTTGTGTGACCTGCTTACAGATGAACGTTGCAAGCTGACCCATTTGTCACTCTCAGGTAACAAAGGTATAAGTAATGAAGGTTTACGTATGCTGTGTGAGTTTGCTTTAAGAAAAGAGCGTTGTAAACTTGTTATGTTGGACCTGGCTGGGTGTTCAGCAACAGATCAATGTATACCCGATTTGCGTAATACATTACAAGATGAACATTGTATGCTTAAAGAATTGAGGTTCAGTCCAAAGAGGTTCACCCAGAAAGGCAGAAAAGACCTTCTTGAAATACCAATATATAAAGTTTGTAAAGCTAGGGGTTTAACAATTAGATTTGGTACTAGTAAGCTCTAGCAAATTAACACAATGAAAGTTTGTTGCGTGTTCCAACTATTCTTTAACTAAAATGCATGATAGCGTTTGAAAAGTATTAAGAACAAACAGGTGGGAAATTTGTCGTCGCTGACCAAAATATCGCGGGCAGAAACAGAACTCCATTGCATTTACATTCAAAACAAAGCAGAAAGTTGGCAAGAAGCTGTTTTAGCTGACTATTTTTTGCTTTTTATTCGAACGATTTACAAATTAACGGTTATTCTTTTAAAAATCCATCATGAATTCCTTGTTTTGGGATGATATTTTTTGTAATCGAGTGATTGTAAGAAGTGGATATGGCGACGTGAACATGGGAGCACTGAAATACCGTATTTGTCGAGGAAGAGATTATTTCGCTGGCCTCAGAGTGACAAAACGTAACAAAGCAACGGTTTTACTAACACTAACCCTACTCTAAACACCAATTCTAACCCTAACCCTTGATAGCGCATCTCGTTTAGTAAAATTGAAGCCAAGAATATTCCAGCGATTACCCCCATTTGAATAGATGGCGGCCATGTTGGTAGTTCCCACTCGCTAATAAACACTTAAAAAACAAAACAACAATAACTTTCATCATTTGAATAGTTTAAAAATGTATTTGGAATAGGTTTAACTTAATGTTTAAGTTCCTTGTTTAAGAAAGAGAAAGCATACGAATCTTCTCATTTCATGGGAATATCCTGAGTCTGCAATCACGGCATCAATTTTTGAATTGCAGAATAATTAGATGCACTATCTATAGTGTATATAAGATATCTATGGGATGGTCAGATCAATGGCACACAATATCTACAAAACTAAACTTATGTTTACCTTTTACTCAAACCGATATTCTCCCACAACACAAATTGTTTTTGTGTGGATATTCTGTGGTTAAACCGAACAGTGTGCTATAAAATAGGGGCTCACAATGTTTTGGCTAAGTGTTTGAGACCCAGTTGCTTCGCACGTGTTCTGGTCAAATTTTTGCCAAGAATCAAAGGCCGAAAGGTGAACTTCCTTAATGAAAACCGCCTCATGAGGGATCTAGTTTGAAATTTAGCTCTTTTAATAATTCCGATTTCATGAACACATTTTGTTATACGTTAAATATTTTTGTACTTGATAAGATTCAAAATTTGTTGTATATTCAAACCCGGCTTCAGTATAATTTTGGTGATGACCGAAAAAGAAATGAAGATATTTTAAAAACTGGCCGTGGCCTCACGATAAAACTTTCTAAAAATGTTCTGTGTTTCATGTGTTTATATTTGATATCTTAGGTATAAGCGTAAAAATAGGGGCTTGTACAGTTTACGAGGTTATAAAATGCATGACTTGTCTCTTTTTTCATGTAAACATTCGAAATTATTTCGACAGCAAAGTTTCGGATCCAATGCACACTGAAATAGAACGTCACTAAAAAATTCTGTATGATTAATTTAGATCCTGTCCATTTTCAACATAGTTGCGTGAATGCCGTCATGTTAGTTTGATCCGGGCTTTACTCAAAACTTTGGGTCATTGTGGGTGCATTATTTTACTGACATTTTTTACTCAAAATTTTTTGCAGTGCACCCTAGCATGACCGATCACTATTGGTTCCTAAATGTAAATTAAGTTAATAAAAGTAAATTTAAATAAATCGCTAGAATTCTAACTTGAAAGATTATTTGAGTTACATGTAGCTGGGAACTGCTTCTAGTTAACATTCTCTTAGCGATCCTGTATCGTGAAAATAGAGCAAACTGGGGCTTCGGTGGCGAAGTGGTTAGCGCACTTGCATTTCACCTCTGAGGCCGCAGGTTCAAGCCTCAGTGAGAACTTTCTCAATGCGACTCGAACCCAGTCCTCATGCGAAAAGATTAAAAAGTCAACGCTCTGCCGAAAGTCGTCGGTTTTCTCCGGGTACTCCGGTTTTCTCCCACAGGGAAAGTTGACAGGGTGGGTTAGGCAAAAGGGCCCACAGTAATTGACATATGCCGCTGTGGTGACCCTGCCCTAGTTGGCAAAATAAGTTGCCAAATAAGTTGCCTTGATTAATTCAATCATCGAGTTGAACTTCCAGCTGAAGGCATACCATTTGATGTTGCCGTGACTCAAATTAACTCCAAAAGTGTTGTGTTCCTCCAAAGAGAAATTCCGTCTGAAGACAGTCCCAGATTAGCTGTTGGTCATGATCCTACCCATATCATTGCTTGCGATCACTTACACCAAATGCTGGACATGTCGAACAAAATCAACTTGGAGAATTACTTCAATGGGAAGCCAAATGTGAGCGACGTTTGGAGTAATATGTTGTGCTGTGGGAGATACACAGAAGACGATTTATGGTACCGCGCACAGGTTATCGAAGTGGTTACAAATGACCCGTTGCAAGCCCGTGTGCTTTATGTTGATTATGGAACGTCTGAAGTGATTGGATTGGAGAGGATGAAGGCATTTGCGGCAGAGTTAGCGTCACTGCCCAAACAAGCATTTCAATGCACTGTGATCGGACTGAATGAGGAGAATGGTGATTTTGATGATGATATTGATTCTTTGGCGAATGCAGTGACTGACAAAAAACTTATCTGCAAAGTTGTGAGTTTTGGACCACCAATTCTTGTCGAGCTGTATGAAAGAGTGTTTAATGAAGAGTCTTATGAAGATGTTCCAATAAGCCAAAGAGTGTCAGAACTTGATGTTATGGCTGATGAATTTGAAAATGATGCGGATGAGGATACTACGAGTAGCGAATAATTAAGTGAAAAGGAGGAAACGGTTGCAGCGAAAGAAGAAAATGAGCAGGTGGACGGTGAAACAGAAGATTTCACAAGCGATATTAACCCAGTCGGAGATTGGTACTCGTCGGAGTGTGAAGAGACTTTCATGACATATGATCGAGAAGGACTGTCGACTCGGCCGCAGCTATTAACACCGGCTCAGTTCTTATTGAAAAAACAAAATGTGGTCGAGCATGAAAAGACCGTCGAGGTACAAGAAGAATCCGAAGTTGATTGAACATCTATTTGAACTGTTGGGTGTGTTGACATTATTTTTGGGATATGTAAGTTTAAAAAAGACTTTCATTGTTTTGTTATGTTTTGTTTATAAGAAATTTTGGGAGATAGTTTTTGTTGCATGCCCATATATGGGCATGCAACTTTCATATAGCTCTAAATTTCGTGTCGCGGTGTGCGTACGGGCGGTGGTAAATCACGTGACAGATTCGTAAAATACGACAAATACCGAGTCAGTCCGACGAGCATTTTCATGTGATGAGTGAAACTTTAATATGCACGCTTTTGTTCACGGCTTTCGTCGAGGAAACGCAAAGAAAATATTCTTTACGGAATTTAAGGCCTTTAATAGAAAAATAGATCGAGGTAGGTAAAGCTTTGTTGTTTTTAATTTAGCTTATATTCTGTTATTTGTTATTATTTTGGTGCCGTTGTGCTGGCACTGATATTTATTCATCAATTATCGGCATTATCAGGCGTTTATGTTTGTGAAAGGCCACGCTGTCAAAATTTTAATTTTTTATATGCCCAAATTGAAACGAAGCCATTGTGCTAGCACTGATTATATTGTGTGTAGCTACAACTTCAAATTTCAAAACTACATCACATTTTGTAAATATTAGCATGAACTATTGTCTACTGAAATTTAATACAACGAAATAGCATTCTACTTCGATAATTTCAATCATAGTCGAGATCATAGTTTAATAATTATTTTCAATCATTATAGTAATTCACGGTTTCCACGGTTTTTTATACTTTCAGTAAGCCATGCAGAATAAAGCTAAATTTGTAGGAAAATATAAACATTGTTGACCTTGATATTACCGTCCCTTGCAACTACAGATGAACAGTCGCGAAAAGTTTGAAAAAGTTTTGTTATTTTGACATAATAGCTATTTTTCAATAAACATATTGATGTTAAATTTATTGAATCAATATGTTAAGTTTCAGGCCAGTTGTACCAAAATTTATAAGCGCTTGCGCACCATAAAGGTAGATTTCCACTCAGTGCAAAATGTCGCGCGATCGACATTTTGCGATCAATTTTTTCTGAAATACTAATACCGAGGGCCTGATACTCAGGTTACTGAAATACAAGCAATCAAACGCAGCGGTCAGGTTGACTGAACGTGTTTCAAAAGAAAGTGATCGCAAAAAGTTGATCTTGCGATATTTTGCACTGAATGGAAATCGGCCTGAAGGCTTTAGTCACAGAATAGATACTAGACCAGAAGGGACACTCCTATGTGTAATGTGTTTTGGCTTGGGAAAAACGTCCGAAATTTTTTATGTGCTATGAAGCCATCCTGGAGTGCACACAGCACTTTGTACCTATGTTTGTACCCATGAAAAACTTCTGTGGTGCACTCCAGGATGGCGTCATATGATGGCGTCATATGATGGCGTATTTCACATCAGCACTCGTCGAGTGACACTTCTGATCCATTCTCTATTCTGTGCTTTAGTTGTCCTACGATTTATCACGATGAGATACATTTCACTACACTTTACGTGGCGGATCTCGGAACACGGGCGGAGCCACTGGGTGAAGGAGCGCGGGCGGAAAAGGGTGAAGGGAAGGAAAGGCAACTAAAGCCTCTGCAGAAGAGAGAGGGCATGCAACATGTACGCACTGCGTACCTATTTTTATATAGTATTGAGGCCATTTGCAAAATCTGAAACAGTAGCTAAATGTCTAGTTTGCCAAAATTTAAGTACTAGATATTAGAAAACTTTGTTTTCTTGCGTTTTTGATTTGTATTATTCCAAACTAGACATACTGATTATGCATATGCTGCCGACATGATAAAACAATGGTATGCAGTTATACAGCATTTGGCGTACGGAAATGGGCAATTCCAAAATTTTTAAAATGAGGAAATGATGTCCTTTTCGCTCGATCTCAACATGTTATGGTTTAACACGCCAGCTGAGATTGAACGCCATTTTGTTATAAAATTTCACGAAAGTATAATGAATCATTTTAATAAGGTGTATGTAATTTGTGATGTTACTCTGAGTGTGTATCCACACCGGGCAAGCTTGAAAAATATGCCCGGCCACGGTGGGATTCGAACCTACGACCTTTGGAATACTAGCCCAATGCTCTTCCGGGCATATTTTTCAAGCTTGCCCGGTGTGGATACACACTCAGAGTAACATCACAAATATCATATTCACCTGAGTACACAACACAGAAAAATCATATTACAAGATTACACTGGTATCGAAGGAACTAGATTCTGTTCCGAAATATCACTTACTCGAACCGTCCTGACCGCGTAGCTCAGTTGGAAGAGCATTGGGCTAGTATTCCAAAGGTCGTAGGTTCGAATCCCACCGTGGCCGGGCATATTTTTCAAGCTTGCCCGGTGTGGATACACACTCAGAGTAACATCACAAATATCATATTCACCTGAGTACACAACACAGAAAAATCAAGGTGTATGTAAGTTTAAGACAACGTTTACACCCAAGCAAAAGTTTTTGGATTTTACGAATCCTGGGTGTTTTAATATCGGATTCATTTGCCGTTTAACACTACACGAGCATGAAAAGTCCGATTCAAAATGACCGAAGAAAGAGCATAAACCTGAAACTTTCGAGTTGGGAAAAAATCTCGTGCGAACATTTTGCGTAAAAAATTCGAATAAATTTGCTCCCGCTTATACAGTAAGTTTTTCAAATTTATTGTCAGTGTTAAATTTGGAAGCCAAAGATGGTCAAAACATCCTGATTACATTGACAATTGCTGTGTATAGTATTATTAGTGTACACACCTCGCGAATCTGTATACGTAAAAAACAAGGAATCCGGTACTTTCATGATCCACGAATCCTGAAACTTTTGCCTTAGTGTTAACGTAGCCTATACAACGTTTCATAAGGGCCTGTCGTTATGGAAAGGGTTACCTGGTTAATTTTTTTTATGCACACTGTATAATACTGGGCTTGTTGAGATCCAGGCAGAGAAGTCTGAATATTTTGTCGTTTAAACCCTTTAGACCCTTTTAAAATTAGGAACCTGAAAGGCTGCATGCCGTGCATAAATCACTGTTAATTTTGCAAACGGCCTTTATCGTTGGATGAACAAAGATTGAGTGGAACATCGCACTTATTCGTATATATGTTATTATTTAGATATATAGAGCCTATATGTACCAGGGTTCGAAATAACTATCTGTGGCCAGTTGTACTGTATACGAAAGCTGGATGGCGCTATCTATGGGATAGTGATTACTTCTTGAGCTTTCTTAAATTGGCCACTGACTGGACCCAGATTAAATTTAGTATCTAAAAATTAAAGTTTTTAATTATAGGATCCATATCGGTAGTTCCAACTCGTGGTATCACTTTTTGAGCATTTTTGCAACGGTTGACAAAAAAACAGCAGCGCTATTCGGCCTTCGTATATGTACAGTACAACGACTACTTGTCAATTCTAAGTGATTTTCACAAACGATATAGGGATAGAAACTACTTCCTGTCGCTTGCTACAGGTTAAGCATCACCTAAACAAACACCGTTATTAATAATATGGAGTTTGAATGTATAGACAGATGACAATCTACTACCAGTTTCTTAACTCTTTGACAGAATTATTTTGAAGTTATCACCTTTTTTGCTTAACTGATCTTGGAGTGCATGTTATAAGGAATATACAGGTTAAATAATAGAGGAGACAGCCTTGACAGGCAAAGATACGATTGTTCCCAGTAAACTGCGAAATGACAGTTTTTTAGGCGGTTTGTCAGTTTTGTCAATTACGAAGGACATATTTGTGTACCTCGTGATCACAATTCGTTGCAAGCGTGTGAAAAACTGCAAGTTTCGGTTTGATAGTTCTGGCAGTTAAATGGGTTTCTAATTTTATTGGCCAATGAGGTGCGTAGTTTTGATTTAAAATTCAGTCGTTTCGCAGTTTACTGGGAACAATAGTACGGCTCTCAACCGCCATGGGCAGGGAAAAATAGGAACATTTCGAACCCTGTGTACACAATTTACTAATATATGTTATTAACAAGATTTGTATGGACTTATATGATTTCGTCTTGTCTATTTTGATCTTTCGTTTTGTGTGTGATTTCGTCTTGGTATTCTGGTCAAAATAATCTCAATTGTGATTAAATGAATACTTGTAAAAGCGGCAAATTGTGTAGTTTTAAAAGCTAAAATATTTGAAGACGGTTTAATGCCAAAAGCCCCTTTATTTATTCACAAAGAGTATATACAATATACACACTGCAATATATAAACTTCTGCACAGTCATACAGATTAAACATTCAATATTGACAGACGCGGTTGTTTGAAAAGTTTCAATCTAATTTATACGTGGTACCAGGACTAAGTTTCACTTGTTCTATTCTTTGGCTAAATCTTTTACCGAATGCATCACTACTAATACATTATAAATATTTGGAGTATGGTATTTGAATACAAATGCAGAATTCTAAATTAATACATTTATTATAGAATCCTAACCATAACTTTGAATCACTATATAAGTAACTTTAAACCGCAAGAGAACACTCCGCATTTTAAAACTCCGCATTTTAAACTCTCCGCATTTTCAACACGCCGCACATTCAACACTCCGCATTTTCAACACTCCGCACATTCAACACTCCGCAGTTTCGACACTCCGCACATTCAACATGGTAAACCTATAATTTATTTAGCTATGTCAGTTGTCCATTATTGTGAATTGAGTATAAACAGACGTGAAGCAAATTTGCCAAAAGCTGTATAACCATAGCCTTGATTTTCTGTTGATTTTTTGCCGTATTTAAGTATACTTTGTCACTATTTTAAGCACGACTAAGAGTGTTTTGTCGTGTTCAAAATGCGAGGGCGTATTGTGGAATTTAATTAAACGCATATGACTTCAATCCGCAATGCCAATGTAATGTTACGTGAGTACAATACATCCAGTTTATTCCTGTGGCTGTGGTTAGGACCTTTTCCGCTAGTCTTATATCTGTAACTTATAGGATTGCACGGCCTCCTTACCATTCTGTAGCAATTAGTAAAGAGTGTAATGCATGTTATGGTGTTTTACTCTTTAATATTGTTTAATAATAGTTCTTTGTTTTAACAGTATGCAAATCATTTTTACGATATGCATCTGGTTTTGCTTTATGTTCTACCGGGTGGCGCAAAAAAAAGTTCACGCGTTTGATTTAGTACAGCGAAAAAACTATAAGTGTTACGTTCCTCAAATAAATGTTATCCTATCCAGGAATGCCTAACTTAAATTTTGATGTATAACACATGCATTTTTGTTTAGTATTACCCAAGATATTGGTAAATCAATTTGAATATGCAATTTCAAAAGGTTCCAATATTAGCTGAAAATAGCCTATTAAATACGAGTAAAGGAAGTTAACGAGTAAAGGAAGATATATGAAGAACACAAAGGCAGTAAATAACGCGTTTATCCTGGAAAATTAAATAACTATATTCTTACACGTGTGACCATACTATCGAGCGAACGTTGGATTTATTTGCTGGTCAAAGTTATGGCAATTAATCAACAATAATCGCTTCACGAAGCTGTCTCAAATTGTTCGGTTGTTGATCTAATTTAATTCCCTATAGCTAGGGGACATGGAATACTGCGAAGCAATTCTTAATTAAAAGAGCCAACTTTTTCGAAATTTTGTTGCTTTTCAAATGATAAAACAAATAAATAAATAAGGAAAATCATTCGTTACACGTTTCAATTTAAATTAAATTCATACAAGCGAATATGTCTGACGAAATTCTAAAATTTATCAAAACAGTTTAATAGGCCATTTTTAGCCAATTTGTCAGATTTTCAAAACTTCGTTCCAAATTTTATTTGGCGATATCCCAGTCAATATTGCACGTAAATAAACATGCTATAGCTCAAAATTTAAGTTAGACTTTTATGAATAGAGCTACGTTTATTTCAGCGATGTAACACTTATAGTTTTTTCGCTGTACTAAATCAAACGCGTGAACTTTTTTTGCGCCACCCGGTACTTTATTTGGTTCGACCTTAGCCGGCAGGCCCGGCACTACGCAGACTTTATAACTTTATTAATAAAGTTTTTTTCAATTTTTTTTCAATTATTATATGGCGAAAATTTCATATAAAAATAGCATGTTCATTTGGTATTCTTCTTAAAATCATACCTTAATTAATTAGCATTTTAATTGTGTTTTTGAATAGATGCGGAATTAGCCGGTTACAGACGAGCAAGTTTTCTTATTTCAAACTTTCTTCGTCAATTTCATGCACGTGCGTACGTTCGACAAATTTTCTACGACAAGTTTTTGGTGTTCTGACTGCCACGATAGCTATTGTCAGTGAATTACAATAATAGATACCTGACCAATCACATGCAAAATTGGTACTTTGCCAATTATTTCTGTGACAAGTGCACTTGTTCCAAAGCTGGCATGCTATAGGTTTTGAACAAGTGTACAAATTGCCATAATAAAAATTGGCAAAGTTGCCTATACATGCAGACGAGCAATATGAAAACTTGTCATAGAAAACTCGCTCATCGGAACCGGCTTTATATAATAATAATGACTTCTTCCTATATGTACAAGCGTACACGCATGCATGAAATCACTGAACTTGAATCGAGATCAGACTACGCGAAGGGTCTTTGGGGGTATTTATATGGAGGCGAGTCAGCCAGGTATCCGATCTAGCTCGCTTTGCCGAGCCGATTTCATCCAGTGTATATACATGAGACTTTGGAGGCGAGTTGGCTTGCCAAAACGAACCAATGGGCTCGCCGCTATCCCACGACAGGAGATTTATACTTCATCTAATTTATATTCAATAAATAGAAAATATTTTGCTGTGTTGGTGTAATGTACTCAGGTGATAAAGGTCGTGTGTTCGATTCCCACCGTGGCCAGGCATATTTTCGGGCCTGCCCGGTGTGGATGTACACTCAGAGTAACATCACACAAGCATCAAATAGAAAATAATACACAAAATTTAATATTTCTGTGAAGTGCGATTGTTACAAACCGAAATATACATATATTACATTGCACATTTCTGTCATCTTCAACGTATCTCCACGAACAATGACTGAACCCTTGAACTGATGCGAAGTCCCTTTAAAATGCAATACAATTTCTTTCGAGGTTCTGTTTGTTCGAAGTTTAAAATGACACTAAAAACACAATATAAAATATAAGAAAAACTTAACTCTTTTGAAATTGTCGGGCGGTGCATTTAAAGTGCATATGACATGAAATTTCTTATTTTCTTTAATGAAAGAACTCTTTAAGTTGTAGTGTAACTTAATTTTCAGTTTCTTGTTTTTATGCTTTGTTCCCGAGATATTTCAATTTGTTTGATATGTAAATGAGTGTGAATATGTCCGCTAATTTATGACGTCACATTGGTTGCAAGCTCTTCAAAATGGTTGAATATCACTGCTATCATCGAAGATGATAATTTCAAACTCCACTCACTGGTAAATGTGATGAAACACTGGAGAAAAACGTGAACTGATATCTACAGTTTTTAGAGTTATAGATTTTTATAACCATTGTAAGTTGAGCTTGCAACCAATGTGACCCCATAAATTAGTGGACATATTCACACTCATTTACATATCAAACAAATTGAAATATCTCTGGAACAAACCATAAAAACAAGAAACTGAAAAATAAGTTACACTGCATGTAGCTTAAAGGATTCTTTCATTAAAGAAAATGAGAAATTTCAAGTCATATGCACTTTAACGAAATATAGTGGCATAATAAGAAGTACAAAAATTTTTACTCGCGAACCTGAAATTTGCACTTTCGCGACCAACAGAGACCTATTACGATAAACATCTGTAGAGAAAATTTTATTTACAACAACGTTACAGTGAATTTTTTCTGTGCTGGTGTTGTGTACTCAGGTGAATAATATGCTTGTGATGTTACTCTGAGTGCATAAACGTTACAGTATATATATTCCCGTGAACAGAGCAACATCACTCGGAGCAATATCCGCTTAGGCGAGCCAGCTCGGGTAATTGCGTTTATATATATGGGAAATTTCCAACCCGAGACAACGTAAAGACACGTAAAGACAGACAGGTTGTTACAACCTGCAGCCAAGTTGTATAGGCAATGCTATTCCAACAACTTGTCAACAGGATGTGCTCGTATACTGCTTATATATTTCCATGCAGCTTGTTGACGATTAGTTGACAACTTACAAGTTATTCCAACAACTTGTTATCGTCCTGCAATTCAAACACATCTTGCGAACACATCTTGTTGACAAGTTGTGAGATTTGTCGTGTGTGTAGGCGGGCCATCCCTGTAACCCATTTAAACGCAAGATGAACATTGGTGTAAATTACATAGCTACGTAACGTTAGCTCTCGGCAAAGTGAACTGGCTTGGTATAGCTGGTTAGTATAAACACCCTCTTTGTATAAATTATATGCACATGCAATACTGTGGCCAGAGTAGCTAATTAATTGATACATTTTTGTATCAATTAATTATTTGATACTTCTACTGAAACAAAACAGCTTATACTTTGCGCTATATTATAACCGTCGTGCATGTGTAGAAATATGTGAAACATTTTATCTTGGGAGTCGAAGACTTTGTAGAAATATCTAGACTTTTTTATTACAAGTTATTTTTAATTAAGTTAATGCAATGTCAACACCAGAAAAGAAAGGATCTTTTATAATTCTATTTTATCCTGCTGGCAGTGCCCGAGCAGGGGGTCACAATGCTTTAACCTTGCATTGTCATTGGAAATGAGCATGATGTTCCTATCAGAAACAGTTGGCGAAATTATTAAAAACACTTCAGTTTGTAAATGCATTTATATAGCTATACCGTCTAAGTGGAATAATTAACTTCTCAATTGCGGTTATACTGTATGAACCAGGCTCAAACAACGCAGTAAACCTCGGTTAGATTGAAATCTTTTAATAGTTGAATAATCGTTGCTAAATATTAGTTTAAAGTAACTACTTCAGTATTGACACGGATAAATTTTCTCCGCTTGAGGTTGTACATTTGTAAAATGCAATCTCTTCATTTTCTGAAACGTTTAAGCGTTTATTGAAATGGAGAATTGATATACATTTTATATAGTACTAGAAGTTGCTATCGCAAGGAAAGTGCTGCCTCACCCCCAAGGCATCAAAGGCAGCATGCGCAATTTGCTGAATAAGGGACTATTTATATGATCCCGCTTTGCCAGGACGAGATGTGAGGCGGGATTATTTTAAAGTATTGAAATAAGTCGCAGTGCACGATTCAGGAAAAAACTTCAGTATTTTCTAGAGAGAGATTATAGACTCATTGCCATAGGCGTAGCCAGGGCGTTATTTTTGGAGGGGCGAAGCGAAAACCAAAGTCATGGCTCATGTTCCGGGCATGTTCCCTCGGAAAAACTTCAAAATCTGGAGTCCCTGAAATACAATTTCAAGCAGTTTGGGGTGACATTTTGGAGAATTCCAATGATTATAAAGTACATCAAAGACATGATTTATGATCTCAAAAACGTACCTTTTTCCAGACATTTGTTTTCGGAAATAAATCAATTGGAAAAGTTACCTTGGAAAACTGGAGGAGGGGACCGTGTCACCTTATTTCCCCCTCTATGATGCTGGGAGGGAAAAAAAAATTATTTTGATCGGAATGTTGCACTTAGGATGTTTTTTTTTGTGGAATGGGGGGGGAGGGGGAGGGGGAAGGAGCGGTCGCCCCTAAACTACGCCACTGCGTACGATTCTGCGACTTGGAACGCAACTTTTACAATTCTGCTTAGCTTGCTCAATGGGTAAGTGAGAGCCTGTAACAATCTCAAGGAAATTTGATCACCGCCCACTAATTACTATTCGAGAATTCAAACTTTTTTAAAAATTGGCAGTTTAAATTACTTTTGGAGTAAATAAAACAGAATTTACACCGCGGCGATGTCGGTTTGGTACATTATAGTATGTGATACAATTCACTAGAACAAAACATTTTGACTTGATAACAGTTTAATTATAAATGCCGTTACTCAACAGTCAATACTGACTATTTTGACGTATTAATAATGAACTAAACTCAAAAATATATTTATATCAAAAGGAAGACAATACCATCTAAGGTCCAAACATTACAATAAATTTCGGAATCATATACAAAATATGACCAGCTATGAGCGAATATGTGTTTCAACGGCTGAACAGTATAAACGTTTACAAATTGACCATTTGCGTAATAGACTAAATTTTGATCTCAACAAAAATTTCAATACAGCTTGAAAGAGCATCACAAAATTAGTAATATTCCAAAGTTTCGTTGCAAAATGTTGTGAAATGCGGAAAATATAGCCTTGCGAAATTTGCAATTTTCAGTCATTTTAGATTACAAACCGGAAATTGACAGCCTCGAAGGGCTTGAGGCTGTCAATTTCCCGTTTGTAATCTAAAATGACTGAAAATTGCAAATTTCGCAAGGCTATATTTTCCGCATTTTACAACATTTTGCAACGAAACTTTGGAATATTACTAATTTTGTGATGCTCCTTCAAGCTGTGATGAAATTTTTGTCTAGACTTGTTTAGTTCAAAATTTAGTCTATTACGCAAATGGTCAATTGACAATAACAAACTCTTAACTCTAAAAATATATCACAATACAAGCCAGAAATTGCACTGTAGTTTGTAGTCTGCTGTAAAACTCATAATAACCGACAAAAGCAACGTTTGTAAATCGAGTAGTAAGTTTCATAAATACATAAAGCGACATGTATATTTTATAGGATACATTATTTGTCAATCAGGGACCGGTTGTATAAAAACGTGATTAAAGTTAACTATAGTTGGTGGAAACGTCATCCAATAAGAAGCGCGTATTTGAGAGTT